CCTTCGGCCCACAACCCTCAGTGAAGTTTAGTTTTTGGCCGTTCTTAAGAAACTGTTTGGGCACCTCTTTCCTAGATAGTTCTATATAGACATTTTATCTGTTTTAGATGTTCATCAAACAATACTTGTGTTAAAATGTTCAGAAAATACTTAACAATAAAGTTCCCAAAATGACGAGGATGATGAAATTGAATGTTTCCTTGATGATTAAAAAAAGAATAAAAAAAAGTTAGTACTATAACATTTTTTAACATTTTATAGAATGTAAAAAACAAAACAAAAGCTAAACATTCAGTGAACATTTCAAAGTAAAGTTTTTATAACTTAATGAGAATGTTATCTAAACATTCCTCAGATGTTTGATGGATATATATTATATGATAAAAAACTGCACCTGCTTCCTATAAGTGCATCTGCTTTTGTCATCCATCACATTATGTGCCCTTCTTCCTAAATCTGTGCCCTTTTACCAACCTCGTTCATCCAATTTACACCAATTGCTTTCCCTCTCAAGTTAGGAAGACAAAATGTTGGCGCCTCCTCCACGAGATTCACTTCATTATGCCACTAATGGGCAGTTGTGCTGCCGTTTCACTCTTTGTGTATCACCAGACGGTGTTTTATGAGCCGCTGTCATCAGCAGACTTACTTCAGCCCAAATGAGCGGCTCAAGATCCACACTTATGATTTATGATGGAGCTCGTTCTGGCGCATTGGCTTTGATGGCTGTGGCATTGATCTGGTTGTTTGATTATTCCACCTGTACTCAAGGACCGGAGTGGCAGAGGCATGCAGAGTTATGATCTGAGATGTCTGGAGTGCCAAGATGTTGTAATGAAGCTAAACTTCCAGAGTGACACCAATAGTGCATCATGGAAACCATTAAAGACTCAGGCTGTATCCAAAATCACCCTGTTCCCTCAGTCACTATGCTGGACATTAACCGTTTTACTTCACTTCTGGACTTAAGCACATATTTTAAGTGTCTTTACTTTAATACAATTTTTTTTTTTTTGGAAATGTTTACTTCACTAAATCCAAAAACAAAATATTGTACCTCTTTTACCAACCCAGGCTCATTCTGATTATGTACCCCTATATACATTTGTGGAGAGATCAAAATACATCCCTACGTTTTATTTGCAGTTTTTGTTTTCGTGAATACACCAGAGGCCGCTCTGTATGGTTTTTCAGACCTTAAATTTCAAGTAGGGTCTGTCTGTAGGGGCCTTAGTGGCGCAACTTGTAGTATGTTAGAGGTGTAACTTGAAGTTATTGAGACATGTCCAAACTACAACCCAGGCTCATTCTGAAAACTTACCTCTATATACATTTCTGGAGGCCGCGAAATACATCCTAGGAGGTACGTTTTTTTTGTTTTCGCGAATCCACAAGACGTCGCTGTGTACGCTTTTTGAGATCTCAAATTTCTCTCGCAAGTGCCATTTGCGACGGCTGTCCTCGCATAAACCTAACAGAGGCTGCTGTTGACTGACTGACTGACTGAATGAATGACTGACTGACTGACTGACTGACCAGTCGACTGACTTACCCATTCCTTCCCTAAACCCAACCAATTTTATCGAATGACCTGTCGAACCCCGTCATCATGGTCAACTCCTTTCTGCGTCTCAAGTCGCTGAAGTACATGTCCAGCTAATGGGACAAACTGGTTACCACAGGAAAGCTGTCCATACGGAAGTAAGTGGACAGCTAGTAAGCACAAAAAAAAAGGGCGTCATACCCCCTTATAGCATTAGTTTTAAAAAATTAAGTGCAGCCATACGTACCTCTGGCTACATAATTTGCAGTTTCCAGAAACATATATAAGACTACGTTTTTAGAATGAGCAACTATGTTGTCCGCAAGATGGTGCTGTACATCAGTTACGTCTACACCTACTCCACACCTAAACCCTACCATCATTGTTATCAACGTCTACACCTTCCCCAACCCTAAACCCAACGGTTATTGATGTTCAACCATGAGTTGCGGAGGCTTTCATACTTGACACGCTCGCCACTGAAATGTTTTTTGCAACCACAGAGGGCGACACCAAGTTGGCTAACTATCATGACAAAACGGATGAAGAAGTCAGTGAGTGAAGTTGCATGGTCGAGTTGCTAAATTAATGAATATGATAACATATCAAATGAATTGGTTGTGGATATATTTGGAGAAAACTGTTCTCTCGTAAGTATTTATGCCATCTTGCCAACAACATCTTGTTGTGACATCTTGCATGGTTTAATAACTGCAAGTTATGCCTCTAACTTACTACAAGTTGTGCCCTTTAATCTTACGGCCTGCCTTACAGTCTGCAGACACTTGCAAATTTCTCTCGCTAGTGCCATTCGCGCCTGCTGTTCTCGTGTAAATCCACCAGAGGCTGCTGTTGAATGACGGACTTACTGACTGACCAACCGACCAATCAAGCTATTAGTAGCAGAAAAGCAATCCATACGAAAGTAAGCGGTCAGCTAGTTAGCAAGAGATCGATGTAATACCGCCCTGTAGAGTTCGTTTCAAAGATGGAATGCAGCCATAGCTCTGGCTACATAATTCGCAATCTTTATAAATGTATATACTGTAGGAGTACGTTTTCAGAATGAGCCCGTGTTGTTCTTTACTTCAACACATTTCCTGAATGAAGCTAAATTACTGTTGATTTGAAGGTAAGAATCTGTCGCTTGCTCAGAGACAAGAAAGTAGTGTTAACTTTAAATTTTCAGTTAACCTGTTGAATTGGTTGACAAACTGCACTGAATTTGTGAATCTTACTGACGTCTGTTCACAAGTCAACAACTTACTGAATCAAACAATGCATTTAAAGTGAATGTCCAGTAAATGGTTAATTGAATCAAATCAGATCCATTTGACTCCCCAGTAAACAACTCTCTGATTTTACAAACTGATCTGAATGGGGTTCCGTGTGTGAATGTGGTTTCACATGTTTCCACTTGACTTATCATGAATTATCAATGTGGTTATTAAAGCATGGCAAGTTTTGATAATTCAGGCTTTTTTAGTTATCAGTAAGTACTTTTCTGACCGAAAAAAAAGTCCAGACGCAGCTTCAAAAATTTGTTTCAAACCGGAAGAACGAATTTGCTTGAAATAACACAAAATCAACCAATTTTCACTTTTTAGTGAAATACATGTGTCCAAATAGTGTTTTTTAGCAGTGTGGGCCACATATATGACAGTCAACAGCTTTAAAAAAGTGTTTTGGGGTTTCGTGACCCTTTAAGTGAAGTCATCTTTTACTACTGATCTACTGTATTTTTGTTAAATAGAGAGTACAATGACAATGAGAATACAAAGGAAAAATGACTATTCAAAGTACATTTTAAGCATGTAAAAGTTCATTTCAATACTATTGAAATACTATTATGTTATTGGTGTTATCCCTGAATTTTCAAAAGTACTTTTTACAAGAAAGGCTTGAATAATCATGAAGACCTACATTATTATTATTATTATTATTATTATTATTATTAATTATTATTATTATTATTATTATTATATTCAAGTGGAGAAAAGTTGAATGTGCTGGCCAGATTGTTATTTGCTTTATAAATGACAATAGGCTACTTTGCCTTAATAGGCAGTTTTTTCCTTTTTTTTCCTAATGATATATAATAAAAATAATACGTATATATATGTATGTATATATATATATATATATATATATATATATATATATATATATATATATATATATATATATATATATATATATATATATATATATATATATATATATATATTCTAAATCTTTAGTAAGTGTTTTAATAAATCAAAAAGTGTGGTTATGATGACCACCCAACAAGCTAATCCTGAAAAAAAATTGTGCTTAAAATGTCACTAAAATGCAGCTATATAAACTATTAATACTCAACTTGACAGTTAAATAGGAAAGGAAGCAAATAACTTTTTATTTATTATTAAAAAAAAAAAATTTGAGAAAAAAGAATCACCCCGTTTAGCAGGCTGGCTATTTGTGGGATTGATTGATTTCACTTCAAAATGTCTACTTTGCTTTTTTGGAACCACTACAGATGGCTGCTATATACGTATAGGAGGTAATTTTATATGCAGTGTGTATGTGTGTCTATGTGCATCAAACACATAGAGGAACATAGGAGTGGAAGAAAAGGGTCGTGGCTGACCACAGATAGAATTTGCTTCAGTCTAGCAGGAAATGGCTCCTAAATCTGCTAGACTGACTCAGTTGAGGGACTTTTATGTTATAAATTGTGGTTACATCCATCATAGCAACGCAATAATACATAAATGCTTAAATTCTACAATTCATGCCAGCATTGTTTTAAAAAATGTTAGCAACATGTTAGCAAGATGTTACATTTTTGATATAACATGCTAGAGAAAATGCTAATTCATGCTAACAATTCAATGTTTACATAACAAAATGATAAACAGGCTAGCATTTTTTTGTGTTACCAACTGCTAGCAACAACACGCTAGCAACATGCTTATTCATGTTAGCAACCTGCACTGTAAAAAACAGATTAGTTGATTTTACTTATCACCTTAAATTTAAGTAAACAAACTGTGGATAATTACAAAAATAAGTTGTCAGCTGAAAAGTTCCAAGCTTACAGGTTTTAATCACATTTTACAGTGTGTTAACCAGGTCTGCTACAATTATGCTAGCAATATAAAGTTTGTTGAAGTTTTATTATATGTACTGATACTGTATACTTCTTTAGTGTCAACCCCATTATCTCAGCGTTTTTAGACAGAAACTCTTGAGAGCTGAACCACCTTGAGACAAGTTTAGTAATTACAGTACAGCTTCTCTGCAAAGGTAAATGCAGAGCACAGTTGCTCTGAGGCCTTCTTGAGCACCAGCTGTTGTCTCACAGTGGTGCATGATGGGAATTTGGATGTTACTTACCCTCGTAAGAGCATCAAATTTTCATTTCAGATTGAACATGCAGGTTTTGCCTCATTAATTTGTGGTTTTCCTCTTTCAGACGTACATCTTTACAGATAGTCCAGACGCAGACATTTCTTCAGAAGGTAGATATTTGTTCTTCTAAAGAACTAGTCTGAAACTCATGATTCTTGAGTGCTTTACACTCACCATGTGTGTTTTTGTCAACAGGTTTTAACGTTGTCGTCACTAATTGTTCACCTGAGCACAGTCATCAAGCATTATCCTGCAAGATGGCTGCTGAGTATGACTACTTCATGGCCTCCTACAAAAAGTGAGTAAGCTAATGGTGCTATTAATTTTCTCAAGATTTTGAATGTTCGGCAACACTGGTTTAAGAAGCAATCCCTACTATTAACTACTGGCTTATTACCTGCTTATTAATATTGGCCCATTTCCACTAAGTGGTAACCTATGGTACATGTCACCTTGATCAGGCTTGCATTTCCACTACCAAAAGCATACGCAGACACACGCTGCCACTTCAATAATCACACGCATGTTATTATCATCAGCTCAAGAAGTTTGTTATTTCAAATATAAACTCACACGCAAGCTCTCTCTCAAGAAAGTGTAACCGCTCACGGTTTGTAAACAACTACTGGGCACACGGTAGATTCTGCTCTTCTTCATGGCTTTGTGGCTGTTTATCAAGAAGACAAGGTTTGTTTAAGCTCGGGTCGACCATTGATCTTTATTATATGTATACATAATTTTGATACAATGTCACGGCCCTGTATTTAAAATGGCACTTTCTTTGTTTTCATTCTCCTGGCTTGTGCACGCACTAGTGGCTTTTCTCTGTAAACCAATGGTGTTCAGCTACGTGTCTTGCTCCGCCTTTTGGTATCTCTTTTGTTGTACCTTTCAAAAAGCGGTACATTACGGTTCGCTTTTTGGTACCTTTTGACTTTTGCCATGAAAGAGTACCGTACCGCACCATACCACTCAGTGCAAACGGGCCATATATGATACTGGTTGTTTGTTAGTTTTTATTAAGTATTATCCATACCCAATTCCTTAACCCGACTACTACCTTACTAACTAACAATAAGCAGCCCATTAGTGCTTTTTTTGCGCTAAAAAATCATGCTTAATAGTTTCTTAATTTTGAGAATCATACTTTAAAGGGCTGCATGTAATTCTGGACTCTTCCTAAGCATAAAAATACCATATGTTTGCAGATATTTAAGAAATGTGCTAAGTGATCATGACAAAACATTAATAGAGTTAGTTATTCTTTGTTATTCTCCTTTAAAAAAGGTAAGTTCTGTTACTCCACCTACTTACCTAATTACATTTCAGCTCCCAAGGTTGCCTTGTCATAAAACAGTGTATTTGTACAGGCACAGCTAAAAATGCAACCTCCAGAGGACAGTAGCAGCCTCCGAAATGAATTAGAGTTATAAAATCTACATGAGGCATTTGCAAACAATACAGATATTAAAATATAAAGATTAGCTGAGAATTTTACAGTGTAATGCTGGGTTCACACCAAACGCAGAGCACATTGTTTCTTGCTCTAGTTTATTGACTGAACATTTTTCACCTCAAGCAAATTGTTCATTTAAGAAGAATTATTTAAATCTGCAAAGAAAGACACAATTGGGATAAATTCTGCATGTTCGTGGCAGACTCGTTGCACAACTCTTCTATTTTCGAGCATTTGCAATGACTTTGTATGCAATCTACTCGCATGACTTTCACATTTGGCTCACTCCAGTTGGAGTTGTTAATCTGGACAACTGTGGAAGGCGGGGTGAAAAAATTCTTTTAATATTTAGAATTTGGACTGTCAATCCTACATACTGCACCTTTAAAATAAATCTTTAAAGAGTCCCTAATATGCATTTAAAAGGTCATATTTTGGTTTTGGGGGTCTCCAACAACCGGCTGATATGCATGCAAGGTCAAAAAAACTCTTTCATTGTCTTATAATATGGATTTATTTTTACCTAATTCTCCTAAAGACTCCCATATGATCTGTTCAGCGATGATCTGTTCAATTGTTCCCCAAACCCCTTTTTAGCGTGACGCTAATCTGTGCTGATTGGTCCGATGACCCAGTCTGTTGGGATTGACTGCATCCAGCTTGAGACATGAGAAACTCCGTCCATGGCTTATCAACATTATTAAAGTAGTCAGAGTGCAGAGTGTATGTGTGAGCCCAATGCAAGAGCGCATTAAAGCAATGCAGTTAAACGCCAGCATATTACTCTCTTCTTAACCATAGGTAATAACAAGGCAAAACATTCAGTATTAACCAACACAGTGGCAAAAGCTCAACTATTTTGAAACTTGACTGCCGCACGTGTGTAGGAACCACTGACGGTGGCCATAGTAACGACAAATGGCAGACGATCGCAAGCTCACAAATGCATTTAAATCCATAAACAAAGCGGTACGTGCCACGTTTTAAATGTGGCTTTAGACACGATTTATGAATATAAAGAAGTGATTACAAGTAACAAAACACAATTAAAAACATATTTTGACTGCTAGAGAAACAAGGAGGCAACCATTTTAATCACACTTACTTACACTTATGAATTGGAGGAAGAAACTGATCCATGAACTGTGTACTGATAAAATACCTGTCAAGCTCTGACAAAGTTTTATACATTAATAATCTTTTCTGATCCTTCCTTTAACAGAGGCAGACAAATCCCCCATTGCAGGGTAGATTATTGCATTAATCACCAGAATGTTCACTTAATAATGTTTACTCATCTTCAGTCATGATCATTCCACACATAACCGCACTCTGCTAGCTTGAAGGGAAAGGATTTAAAAAAAAAAAAACATCATAAGGGCTCTTTAAAAGTGAATCTATACAGTGGAAACTGTTCAACTGAATCCATTTAGCATATTTCTATGTATTTGTTTTTTTTTTTTTTTATATATTTTTGATTACAGGTGGCTGTGTCATGTTGATGATGATAACTATCTGAATCCCGGAGCTCTTCTCTCTCTCCTGATGGCCTTTCCAGCAGATGGCGATATTTATGTAGGAAAACCTAGTCTGGATCGACCAATGAGAGCGCAGGAGCTGCTGGAGGGAAACAAGACGGTCAGTATCACATCTATTCATTTTTTTTTTGTCGTTGGTCAGCCTTCAGCAGCTTTTTTCACCTAATTTTTATGTCCTTTAGAGATCAATCAGTGATTAGAGCTTTATTGGCCACTGATCTCAACAATTTGTTCTGGTGTGTTAATGTACAGCTGGAGAGAAAATCTGTCAATACTGTAGGCAGAGTAGATCCAATCACGTTCAGTGTGTAATCCCAGTCATTCTCTCTATGTGTGCGTGTGCACATTTAGTCATGCTGTGTCTAAACCTGCTTCTTCAGTGTGTGTGTGTGTGTGTGTGTGTGTGTGTGTGTGTCTGTGTGAGTGTGAGGTCTGCCGGAACAGACAGGCCATTCAATCCAGGTTTCCTCATCTCTCTCTCTCCCTCTCTTTTTCTCTGCTCTGCTGATCTCTTGGGCCACAGAGACTCTTGGGTAATAAAAAATGAAACCTGTCTTTTCATTTGTGCTGCTCATGCTGGACTCTGCCTTCATTCAGCATGTTGGAATGCATTAGTCATATCCACGTATCAGATATATATTTATATTCTTTTAAATAACTTGTGTCATTTGTGTTATGTTACTCATTAATTATTATTATTATTAAAGTTTTTCATTCCTGCACTTTCAGAAATAAAGGTCAAAACACTCTCTGGGGCAGTACCTTTTTAGAAGATATATATTAGTCAAAGTCAACATCGATATACCTCAGAATTGTCAACTCTGACACATAGTCATACAGAGAATTGAAATTACTCTCTTAGTAATAGTACCTAAAGTGCACATATTAGTAAATTAGAGTCCTTGAGGACTGGTAATTGCTGAGACTTCGATTCCAATAGAGTGGAGGAACTATGACGTCACCTTGTGGGCTAATTGGCTGCTAGCATAAAACTGGTTACTTAGATAAAATCCCTATAGGATTTTCCCATAGGCTTTTCGAAGATTGCAAATAATAAGCTCTGTGTTCAAACACTGTTCATTACACTTACACATTTTATCCAGCCAGATAACCTCACACGAAAATATAACTTTGAGCACTTTTGGATCTTAAATGCAAACGCAAGAATTTAAAAGCTAACATTTTGCTATAAATGGACTACAGTGCCTTCAGGACACTGGCCTGTGACATCAGCACCACCCTGCTACAGATGACTTAAATAGCTTATTATTAGAAATATGGCCTATGACAAAGAGTTAATCTCTGTTTAATATATTATTATCCATGCTATATATTATAAACAAATAAATATGCAAAAACACAGACCTATATGCCTTTTGGATCGTTTTTACGTGGGAAATACATCTGTTTTGCTTTACTGTTGTTGTAAAAGTTCTAAAACTGTATGTATAAATGTGCTTACATAGTATAAGACATATTTAAATAAGTGTATCATATGCATACAGCCCACAGCCCACTTACCTTAGTAACAGATAATATAATTGAGGCGTGAGGGACAGGTCTATATGCAATGCCTGCAAGTTCCATGATGGATCGAGAACAACATTCAATATTCTTTTTATGTCACGAAGTACAGCGAAAAGCAGCCCATACAGTCATCAATGCTGTACATTTCAAGAAGGAGTGTAAATATTACACTTATGACAGAGGTAAATGTGTTCAGAGGATGAAAAAAAAAAAAAAACTACAAAAATTACTTGATCACATTAAAATGACAGTTATATGTGTGTAATTTTACACTTTTATTCACATGTTTGCATTACTAAGAGCAGGAAAAAGACAGGCTGCACTGGTAAGCAGTATCTTCATAATAAAAGCGAATTCGAATAATAAATATTAATGAATAATACACCTGCTCAATGAATGCATAGGGCTAAGGGAAAGGGGTGAATAGCCCTTCGAATTAAGATTTTTCAGGACCACACTTGAAGCAAGGGGTAAGAAAATTTCCCAGAATACACCTGCCACAACGAACCCGGAAGTAAGGTGATCCACAAATTAGTATTTTTTGTCATTATTATGAATTTTTACGACAAAATACGTTAAAAATAAATGAATAAATAAAAAACCCAGCTAAATTTCGTGATCAGCAGTCCCTATTAATTAATTACAAAAATAGAATTGGGATTGGGCAGTAGAACTGTGTGCTGTGAAACACTGGCCTGGTCACCACTGTTGTAGATGCTTGTGATTTGTTATACTGTGGTCCTCTCCTCCCTGGACAATGCACAGCTGGATGACAGTTCATTGTTTGTCTGTCTGTGCACCACTTTTGAAACATACTCACTACAGTGGCCTATGAACAACCCTGAAGATGCTGCATTTCTGAGATCAAAGTTCAGACTTTTTGTGTGTATCTGTGTATATAACACTGCAACCTCTCATTGCTGTTTCTCAGTTTGATACTCAGAGGCGTTTGAATCTAAACTACTTTTGTTCCGGTTAACACAGCAAGATCCAGCCTATCTGCCTCTCTGTGTGTCCTCTGTGTTGTTTATGTGCACATTTATAGGTTTGGCTGGACGGGCAACAGTTCCCTACAGGGAAACAATATGGTTAAAAGAACGAGAGGACAGAAATGGCTGTGGAGAAGCTTGAGGGTCACAACCACATGCAGGAAACCAATAAAAGGATGAAGAATATATATATAAAAATATATATATATATATATATATATATATATATATATATATATATATATTAGTGCTGTCAAAATTAGTCCATTAAAGCATGCAATTAATTTAAAATATTTAACACGTAAAAATTTTTTTTACACAATTAACGCAGTTGCAGGTTATTTTTTGTGGTCGATTAGATTAGATCTAGATGATAGATTAGATTGATGTGTGTTCAACATGCAAAGAAATATGGATAAGACCAACGAAGCACTTTTTGAAGGCACATTTCAGTATAAATCCTATTAATGTTGCATCACCAGGCTCTCCAGAGTTTTATGCAATTTCGTTAAAAATTTCAATTTTAACATTTGACTTCTGTTTTAATGGAATTTTAATCATTTTAAATGGAATTTGATACCGCATGGCAAATGGAAAGAAAAACGCATTTCGTGACTTGGTGGTCCTTTAAGGTAATTAAAAATCGCTGCTTACATGGTAGACTCTGAATAAGAGTATTATCTTAATCATATTAAAATCTGAGTATTGGTGTCTTATGTAAATCTACTCAGAAAGTGCCTTTCAGTATGAGCCCTCCAATGTTTCATTAAGTTTGACGTGTTTCCTCCTTAAACGCAACGAAAGAGTATGCTTTTATATTATATATTTATATGTGGCACTTTAAGTTGTTTATATTAATCCAAGTAATTTGCTCATAGTCTTAGTGGTGTAAATTTAATCATATTTGAAAATAGTAACATGTTTACACCAGCAGGTATTGGAAAATAACGTCTTCAATGTGTTTTTTTTTTTAAAGAAGTGAGTCAACGAATAGATTTAAGGTTAGTTTAAAAGGACATACTCATTCAGAAATTACCAGTAGACTCTTTATGGCTTAGTCAATAAATCACTCAGCAATTTTTATCAAAACCATATAAATTATTAGAATAGTATATATTAACAAATTAGTTTACACATCTTTCAAACATGAGAACTCTTGCATCATTCACTCAAATAATCTGTTCAAAACCATTCATTTATTATAGGAAAAAAAAACACTGTTGTATAAGTGAATCATTGAATCTGTAACTGCGCTAATGAATTATTAATTTTTTTATGTAAAACAGTTCCATGTATATAATATAATATCATGTAATTCAGGTATTTGATGTAGTGGAAGTGATTCACATTTATAAATGACCTGCTTTTGTGTGACTCTTCATCTCTTGTTGCTGAAATTCTTGCTTTAGGCGAGGGTTTTACTCACAATGTCAGCGAGTCTACACATGTACCACTATTGCACTCTGACCGACTGAACTTCAGATCGGCCATTAATCACTCTGCACATAATTGTTTTAGGACTTGATACTTATAATTTGAATAACTATATAAAATGTATATTCAGAGCCACTGCATGACTGCCACTCAATATGCTAAGGTTAAAGTACGCTTTCTTTTGTTCTGTTGCAGAGGGATGTCCATTTCTGGTTTGCTACAGGAGGGGCTGGTTTCTGCCTGAGCAGGAACCTGGCAGAAAGGATGGCACCCTGGGCAAGGTGAGGTCCTGATTCAGCATTTGATTCTGAAGCAATTTCACGCATATGTTAGTACATGTGCCCTCATCACGAAAGGCATTTTGGTGGTTTCTACAAGTCATAAATTCAGAATATGTTTACCTCTATTTGCAGTGGTCCCAGGTTTGAACAAACATCTGCTGTGATAATGTTGCCTGATGACTGTACCGTGGGTTTTATAGTTGAGAGGCGACTGGGCATCTCGATGATCCATAGCAATATGTTTCACTCTCATTTAGAAAACCTACTCCTTCTGTCCCCCAGCGATATTCCAAAACAGGTGAGATGGTTGCAATTTTTACCTTATTTTTTGTTGGTTATTAGTATTAGTGCTTATATTCAAGTTAGTTAGATAGTTTAGACCAATCTAATTGTTAAAAAAGAGATTTGAATTATAATTCCCAAGGTATTTTTTGACTTAAGCTAATAAGCAACCAGCTAGAAATGCCATATCAACCACCTAGGATACCTTCAACAACCCAGCTAGCAACCAATAGTAAAATACTTCGCCAAACACCTAGCAAAGTGCTAGCAATCAGTTGATCAGGCAAGAAATGTCTTTTAGCATACTGTAACTAGCACAACTGTTGAGAAGAATAATGTTTTTTTATTAATAAGCAGTCACTTTAATTACTTTAGTTACCATTTAAAGCACATATCTTGAAATCTACTGTTTACCTTAGCAAACATGTAGCAACGTGCTAACAATCACTCTCAGTTAAGGACTTCCAGCAAATTAGCATGTAGCAAGTTTAATAATCAAAATAGTCACATTTAGTTTGCAGTATTCAGCCAGCTGTTAAAAAAAATTGGATGTTAGTTATTTACCTCGCAGGGCTGGATGCAACTACATTACATCAGAAATGCTACTATTTTACCTCATTGAATACATATATTTTACCCCAGAGTACGGAATGCTTGAACAATGTGTAGCAATATTTTACCTCAGAAAAGAAGATGTTTATATTTCAATTCCAATATCTGGATTCTTCGAATTAGATGCTAATATTGAACTGGATGCTAACATTTTACTTAAAACAATTGGATGCTATATATTCCTCAAAATAACTGAAAACATAAATTTTACTAATTTTTTACTTTAAAGAAATAGATGCTAATATTTGACCTCAAATAACCTTGAAAATAGCCGTCTCAGAAACTGGATGCTAATATTTTGGTCTGTGGATGCTACCTCAGATAACGTCAAACTATTTTATGTCATAGAACTGGATAGTAATATTTTACCTCAGATTTAAATTCAAAATACTAGATGCTGTTTTGAATTGAATGCTAATATTAAACATGTATTAATGTTTTACCTAAAAAAATGCTGTTTTGTCCTCATAATAGCAGAAAACATATTGCAATATTATATTTTTGAGCACTTGATGCTAACATTATAGCGCAAATAATATCAAAACAGTCTACCTCAGAATCTGGATACTAATATTTTGGTTTAGAGAATTGGATGCAACTTGAGATAACACCAAGTTTTTTTTTATCTCAAAGAAATGGATAGTAATATTTTACCTCAGAAAATCAGACGCTTATATTTCAGTTCAAAATATGGGATGCTAATTTAAACCGAATGCTAATATTAAACGTTATGCTAACGTTTTACATTTAACAATGCTGTTTTGTCCTCAAAATAACTGAAAACATATACCAATATTATACTTTAAGCACTTGATGCTAATATTATAACTCAAATAGTATCAAAATAGTCTACCTCAAAAACTGGATACTAATATTTTGGTTTACAGAACTGGATGCTACCTCAGATAATGTGAAACTATTTTAGCTCAATGAACTGGATAGAAATATTTTATGAAAGATGCTTGTATTTCAGTTCCAAAATCTAGATGCTTTGAATTGGATGCTTATATTGAACTGGACATTTTACTTAAAACACTGCTATATTTTCCTCAAAATAACTGAAAACATAAATTCTACCAATATTTTACTTTAAAGAACTGGATGCTAATATTTGACCTCAAAATAGCCATTTCAAAAAATGGATGCTAATATGTTGGTTTAGAGAACTGGATGCTACCTTAGATATTATGGGCAAACTTACCCCAAAGTACTGGATAGTAATATTTTACCTCAGAAAATCAGAACCTTTTATTTAATTTCAACACTGGATGCTGTTTTGAATTGAATGCTAATACTAAATGTAATGCTAACGTTTTACTTTGAAAAGCAATGTTGTTTTGTCCTCAAAATAACTGTAAACATATTCCAATATTATACTTTAAGCACTTCATGCTAATATTATAACTCAAATAATATCAAAACAGTCTACCTCAGAAATTGGATGCTATATTTTGGTTTAGAGAACTGGCTGCTACCTCAGATAATATCAAACTATTTTACTTCACTGGATAGTAATTTTTGGTCACACTTTATTTTGCTGGTCCGTTTGTTGAATTAAGTTACATTGTACCTACCTCCCAAGTAGTTCTTATTAGATTATAAGTAGACTGTCAGGTTGGGGTTAGGGTTGGAGTTAGGATTAGGGTAAGTTGACATGTACTTGCAAAGTTTCTTATAGTCAGTTAAATGTCTGTTGAAGGAGCAGTATCAACAGATATTAAGCAGACAGTCTACTAATACTCAAATGGACCATCAAAATAAAGTGTTACCTATTTACCTCAGAAAATCAGATGCTTATATTTCAGATCAAAATACTGGATGCTGTTTTGAATTGAATGCTAATATTAAACATTATGCTAGCATTTTGCCTGTTTTGTCCACAAAATAACTGAAAACATATAAAGAACTTGATGCTAATAACTAAAATAATATCAAAATATCCACCCCAGAAACTGGATGCTGTATTTTATAAATAGTTTTTAAAAATCTGGATGCTAATGTTTTACCTCGGAGAACTGGATGGTTATAATTTACCTCAAGAAACTGGATGCTATTACTTTCTAAGAACTGGATGCTGTTATTCCAGCTTAAAGAACAAGAAGCTAATATTTTAACTGCCAAAACAGATTATGCATTCACTGGAATGAGATGGCTTGCTGAAACCATATTAGTTATGTGATGCTAACAGCAGGTTTTCGGTTCCTCCTCTGTTTCTCATCCTCTTGACACTGTAGGTGACTCTAAGCTACGGATGGTTTGAGAGTAAAATGAACAGTGTTGAATTAAAAGGAGTTTTTACCAAAGATGAAGATCCGTCCAGGTTAGTCACACACACACACCTTCGCACTCCCACACACTTGCCCTGTTCATACAGATTTTCTATTTATGACTAAGATGACGCATGTCGCCGCTAACACTACTTTCTATTGTTCATTCAAGAGAAACGATCAGTTTATCTGAGGTAAAGTCATCTGTAAAGTCATCCTTCGACTAATGTTCCTGAAATCTAATTTCATGCTAATATTTGTGTTGATCTGTAAAATATGCTTAGCGCAGTCAGATCAGTATCTCCTCACACATCTTTCTGCCTGTGTTAGCATTAAAGATCCAGGCGTTTTCTGTTATCGCCATAAATCCATGCTTATGCACACTTTGTGAGCAGACATATCTTGCGGGCGGTTTAAAAGCACTTCCTCGTACATCTTAATCTGCTTAATCTGAATAAATATGTCTGTATTTATTGCCAAACACATTTTTTTTTTTTACTGAAAGCATACTTGTGTTTGAGACCTGAGAAAGGTTTGGTTCCTGTTTAAGTTTAGATTAATTATTCTGCCAATGTTAAAACTAATCGTAAACCATGAATATGAAGCGTTTTAAAGAGCCCCTATTTTGCATTATAAAAGGAGGAAGAAGAAACTGGTCCATTTGATTTGTAACAGTTACTGACAAAGTCTCTGTCAAAGACTGACAAAGTCCTATACATAATAGTCTCTGCTGCTCCTTCTTTCAAAAGCAAATAGTCGATGAGTCCTGCGTTGCAACTTAGGTTATTGTATAAATCATCAGAATATTGAAAGGAACAAACTGCACACCGTTGGCTATGCTGTGGTGTTGTTGTGAAAATGAACCGTTTATTCCCCACAGCCAAATCTCCATCTGTCGTTATCTTCGCGTCATGATGAGTGTTCACGTTTTACCGTATCCCGCACTTCTTATTTGGTGATGAACGGTATTGACATTGATGCGTTCAGGCAAAAGATCTGAAGCCAACACAATTCATTTATTTGACTCTGAGTAGACTATTTTGTTGAAGAATCAATAGTTTTAAACACGGTGCACTTTCAGAATTAAACCTCAGCTGTATGTTTTCATTCACGTGCTGTGTTACACACTGTATGGAAGCTCATTTTCAATTTGAATTCTTTAATGCTGTGTGCACACCAGATGTGGAAGAAGCGTCAAGCTCGAGTGATTTACATGTTAAGTCAATGCAAAGGCACGAATAGACATCCTGCAGCGCGATACACGCAAATGGTGAGAATTATACGAATGGCGCGAATTACGTGAATGGCACGGCGAGGTGCGAATGATGCAATATGCGCAAATGGCATGGTGCGAATTGAGCATTTTGCACGTTTGATGCGCTTAAACGACGCTCGAGTTTAAAAATCTGAACTTCAGCGGACATTCGCACCACGTTAACCAATCAGGAGTTTGCTCTTTTGGGGGCGTGATTATGATGTAGCACCTGTTGTTGGTGTCCTGGGGGAAAATCCTCCTGCACACACCAAAAACAGTTCATCAAACTGTGCTCAGTTCAGTCAGAAGCACAGCTGAAAGTTTCAATCATCCAGGTTAAGTTTCTAGAGGAGTTTATGAGTTCACAGAGCTGGGTGCACCTCTAAAAGGATCTAGTGGACTCAGACACTGGTCCAAACAAATCTACACTGTTTTTCAGCCTTCATAAAGCACATAAACAAATATTTTCTTAATAAAATCCATGTTAGCCATTTAGCAATGAAGCTTCAGGCACTGAGCAGACAGAAGCCCTGCCTATCACGTAAGTACGCCTTTGATCTGAAGTGAATTTGAAGCGCGAATGAAGCAGATTTTGGCGCGAGAATAAAGCAAGTAAACTCAAATGTTCACGTGTCTATTTACAAGCAAATAGCGAGATTTATCCACGTGCTCCGCGTTGGGTGCGAACACAGCATAAGATTTTTTATTTTTTTTTGGCTAATGTTGTTCTGATATCTTTCAGGTTCAGGACAGTTCACTGTCTTCTATACCCTACAACAAGTTGGTGCCCAGTTGCCCTCAAAAGTGCCTTGTCATGGAATCAACATGTGATGCACTGAGCTAAATGGACAATGATCATGTATTATGTGAAAAGATCATGGCATGAATTTCCAAAAAGACATGTTGTAAGGGTAGACGAGCCAACAAATAATGCACCGAAAGAAACAGAAAAACCTTGATGTTTTAATGAGCCATTATTGGTGTTTAAATGCTAAAATAGAAGTGTAACTTCTGTCTACACGCTGCACATTTTTTAGGTGTTATATGGTCATTTGATTCCTTGATCATAAATACGCTTAAGAAGAGTCCTGAATAAATACCACATATTTGTCAATGCACTGTTTAATTGTAAAAAAATGAAACTAACTACTTATATTATGAATTAGTTTGTTTACTTGTGTATCAATTTAAAATCAAATTATATTTGTTTCACTGTATTTTACACCTTTTGCACTGTACACATTTCGATTACTGTAATATGTTTTTAATTTATGATTTACATGAAGCACTTCAGTGGTTATCCACTAAAATGCGTTTCCATACAGTGTTAGTTAAATAAAGATTATTTTCTGTATGAAGTTTACGATTTATTTTCATGGCAAATTAATGTCCATGTGGTTGTATTTTTACAACAGGTATTACTAGATGGTTGCTAGGGCATTGAATTTTAACTTGCATTACACTGGACAGGTACTGTAAATAAACATGCATTGCCCCTTTAAGACAAGGCTTTGGCTTGAGCTGGGCACTGGCCCTTTAAGACAGACTAAAAATCAATTGATTGAACCAGTCTGTTTGGACTTGAGAAACGTGAAAATACCATCAAGCAAACTAGCACAATTCAAATTTGGATCATACAACACAAGGCTTATCCAGTCACAGAATTTCTCCTGGGTAAGTTTGGTTTATTTTGTTATGTCTGCTGGTGGTTTATTCTCAAATAAAGGGCTTATGTTTGGGCTGGAGGAGTCAAAACATTTGAAATCTTCACTTTTTGTTTGTTCATCTTGGTTTAGATTTTGGAAGGAGTTTAATGAACATTTGAGTACTCTGTGATCACATGTTGCATTGCCTTTGGTGTTTTAAATTGAGTTATTGTTAAAAATGTAATTAATATTGTTTGCTCAGTAGTTTGTTTTATTGATTGTTTTTGGTTATTTGTCATTGTACTATTTTGTTCAGCAGGTGAATTATTAGACGTTTGAGTCTGAATTTCACTAAAGCAAATTGTTTATAAATTTTTTTTAATTACTTTATATGTTCTTTAATTGAAAACGACCAGTAGCATACTCGTTTTACTTTTACATACTTTGTTTTAGTATATATATATATATATATATATATATATATATATATATATATATATATATATATATATATATATATATATATATATATATATTAATATATATATATATTTTTTATTAATTAATTAATTTTTATATCTAACACAGATTTTCCCAAAGGTTAGGTTTAATTTGGTCTTATAAACTTTATTTAAAAATAAATAAATAAACACAGCAGTTGGTTTTGTCCATATTTACCCTAAATTGGTTTGAAAAAAACCTAGCACTTCATTAGAGCTTTTGCTAAAAATGACAATAAATATAAACACAACACTTTGGCATGCATTTTATATTTAGTTATAATGTAGGTTTAAGTGGTTTGGTATATCTGAACAAACAATATTAAAGGGAGAGTTTAACCAAAGATATTTAAGAAAATGCTGATAGCTGGTGTCTACTGATTTCCATATATATTTTTTCCTTCACTCTAAAATATGGTTCTTTGAGGTTCTATACACTCTCAGAAGTAAAGGTACGCAAGCTGTCACTGGGGTGGTACCGTTTCCAAAGGTACAAATTTATACCTAAAGGGTCCATATTAATTCCTCAAGGGTACATATATTAGTACCTAAAAAGTACAAAAGTGTTTAAAGTACTAATATATACTTTTGAGGTACCAATATGAACCCTTTAAGTACAAACGTCTACCTTTTGAAAAGATACCACCCCAATGACAGCTCACTTTATTTCCGAGAGTGCATGGAACCATTTCTTTTAAGAGAATATGCAAGTCGATGGGTGCCATGTTTTTTTTTTTTCTTTGTTTAAGGGTTTATTTACCCTAAAATGCTAAATTTACTCACACTTAACTTTTTCCCCAACATTCTTCAAAATATCTTCATATTCACCAGAAGAAAGAAACTTAAACAGGTTTAGAACAAGTGGAAGATGAATATATGATGGCAGAACTTTTGGGCTGAACTATCCCTTTAAGTATCGCATTTGCAAAGTTTTCTTTCAGCCCCATAAGTCTTAATGCCCACCTGTGATCTGTAGAAATTCAGCAGACCAAATCAAGCCGACCCAGATCTGCAGTCTAATTTTCTGCAGTCTGCTCACCGCCTGATCTCTGAGGCCATAAAAGCAGCTAGAGATGATAAAAGCTCAAACACGCTGCTTTATTAGTGTTGTTGTCAGATGCAAAGAGTTATATAATGCAACCATAGCACCACAAGAACTTAACGCTTTGAAGAATTCTTTAAATTAAATAAAGCATTGTCATTTGTGACAAAGTAAATGAATGCGTTTACTAGGCTATATTTATTTGTGTATTTATGACGTCTACCAGTACGGGTAGCAGCTTTGATTTAAAAGTTGATAATGATCTTCCGAAAAAAAAAAAACAGGCTATTGTAAAGTAAGCAGAGAATTCCTCAATAAGTCAGTTTACATGCACATCCTTAACCATCTTATGCTTAAGTCACACTTTTGTCATCATCATGCCAATGTGTTTATTTATTTATTTTTTTTATAATGATAAATTTTAACACCGGTAGTCAAAGATTGTTGCCCCCCAATTTCACATAGCACATAAGCACATTAACTTACACTTTGTTATTTAAATTGTGCATGTGATAGGCCTACATGATATAAATGACCCTAATGTAGATTTAACCACATTTAGACAGAAAATGTTCTGGAAGAAGCAAATATATCACAAACTCAGATGCTTTCTTGACCTCTTAGCACAGGGGTCTTAAACTCAAACTTGCAGGGGACCATTTCAGTAACTGTCAATTCATAGGAGGGCCATTTTAACATTCAAGTACATGGAAAAAGTGGAAACCTGATGTAACCATGATGTTTATATTTCAAGCTTTATCTGTCCCCTGTGATAATGCAAATCAGCTCGTTTATTGTGTCACACATCAGCTGCTGGAATATATCTGTGGTTGTTGTGTGTGTGTGTGTGCGAGCATTAGACACACACTCAGTCATTCTTCCATAGAGTATATGCAGTCAAAACTCTAGCTTTTGGTTTCTTGTTGTACATATTGAAGGGGGAGTTTAAATTGCTTTGACAATACTACTAATAATAGGCATAATATTTAATATTCTGTCCAAATCAATTGTATTGTCCCGATAGTGTAAGAACAGCAGAGAGCAGTTTGGGTTACTTAAGTGACTTTACTGGCAATTGTTCATTTCAATATATTTCTTTTTTTGTTTGTTTGTTTGTAAAACTACAACCAACAAAGAGGGGGGAAGTATGTACATATTCACATTTACTTTAACATGTTACATTTAACTAGCAGTACAATCTTACAAATGTACATAGTTTTTAATTCAAATCTTAATAAGCAAATGAGGAAAATCTATTAAATGAGACCATTTAAATCAAATATTAGCAAATTGATTTTACTATCAGCATAACGTACTGCGAACAACAAAATACAAGTGGGATAAAACTGATAATAATCAAACGACCCTTGAATATTTACAAAAATAGAGATTTAGTAAAAATAGAGCACTTACTGAGATATATTTCTACGTTTAAATCAGCCCCAGAATGGAAAAGCATAGGTGTTACTCTCAACCATACACTAAGAGAAAATAAAAGTAAAACTAATCTGAATGCAGTGCTATTAATGTTGACTAGATGGCGAGTCGAAACTACAAGTGGCTAGACTCGACTGCACAACAATGATAGAGATTCAAAAATATGTTTTGGTTGGCCGAATCTATATTTTTATAGATATAATAAATAATATATATAATGTATAGTTATATTTTTGACGCCTGCCAGAGGGAGGAGGGCTGGCAATTTGAGACCCCTGCCTTATGCCTCATTCACACCAGCAGTGACTTTGTAGCTGCCTGTCGCTCTGGGTGGCCACCAGCTTCAAATGCAGGTTTGTGTAGGTATATACAGCACGAATACAACCGACCTCTCTGGAAGCTGAGAGAGGATCATGTTAGCTCTACTGGGGCTCCTAATGGCTGTCACTCAAGAAAGTCGCTCTTCATTTGCATGAAGTTAGTCAGTTGACTTTATTAGTGCCCGTAGGTAGGTTCTTTTAGCGGCAAAGTTTGGCATTTGATACAAATAACTAAATCACACATGTACATTCCCACATACACACATACAAATTATAGCTTATAAAAAATTACAATTTATTCAGAGCGACAAGATGATGGGACATAACTATTCCTGAACCGTTTTGTTCTACTAAAAAGCATTTGAAACCTTCAACCCGAAGGGAGCAGGATAAACTCCTTAGACAGAGGATGAGAGCTACAGCTACTAATGTTCTGGGCTATCCATAAAAGCTGCCTACTATACAGGGATTCAATTTAGGGACTATACAGGGGCTCAGTCTATTCCTGTTTTTGAGAGACAGACCTCCAAACCATGCCACCAGAGTGAAGGATAGAACAGACTCAATAAAAGGCACAATAATAATAAAAAAAAAAATAGTAAGCATATTGGGGCCAATGTGAAACTGTGATAGTTTCCTAAGACAATATAGGCACTGATGCTCCTTCTTGCACACAGCATCACAGTTTGCCTCCAAGTTTAAAGATTGGTCAATAACGGTACCCAAATATTTGTAGTTCTCCACACATTCTACTTTTTGATCTATGACCTCTGAAGTTGAACGATTCTCAACTTTATTGCGTCGCTCATTACGCCCACCTGGTTGCCAATGGTCGCTGCTGGTGTAGACTGAGGTTACCAGAAGTGGCTCATTAAAATGAACGGTCACTTTGCCGCTGCGAGTTGCTCGTAGTGTGTGTGAGGCTTTAGCATGTTGAGTAGAACTGCGACAATAAAAATGTTGTTTAGTATATGAAACATGCTGTAATTCCTGCTGACATGTACTCTTCCTAAATTATTAACGATTTGTTTATCATGACAACAAGCATGACAATTTCCAAAATCAAAATATCCGACTGCATTCCGACTTCACTAAAGGGAAGGAAACTCATTGTAAACATGATTTACTTGTGTAAGAGTCTAAATTATATGAATTTGTTTCTATGTCTTTTTAACCAAAGAAGGCTCACACAAATTCCAAATGCAGATACTGATGAGATCAGGGCCTGGTGTGTGGACTTTGGGGGTTTTACGATGTGGTCACATGTTGATTGGTCAGTTTGACTGTCTCTGCATTTGGGCTTTTGACACATGGTCAAGAAAGATACAAAATAGGTGTAAAACTTTCTGTCTCTGCGCTCTCCCGCTCAGCTCCTCTCCTCATCTGGATTCTGACTCTACTGCAATGAG